GGGACAGCTGGTGACAGAGAGTCACATATAGCAGTCTCAACTGTGGCCTGTGCTGGGCACGGCTCATGGATGAGTTTATTTTGTTCTACGTGGGATAGGAGAGGTTTTTGTTTTGTTTTGTTTTTTGAGACAGGGTCTCACTCAGTCGCCCAGGTTGGAGTGCAGTAGCATTATCATGACTCCCTGCAGCCTCGACCTCCTGGACTCAGGTGATCCTCTCTCCTCAGCCTCCCGAGTAGCTAGAACTACAGGCATGTGCCACCATGCCCGGCTAATTTTTTAATTTTTTGTAGAGACAGGGTTTCACCACATTGCCCAGCCTGATCTCAAACTTGTGGGCTGAACGGATCTGCCAGCCTTGGCCTCCGAAAGTGCTAAGATTATAGGCATGAGCCACTGCCCCGGCCAACTCTGTTAATTGACACATAAATGTGGGGAGACGTCATGTAAAAATCTGCCTTCACAGCTTCCTTGGAAAATCAGAAAAATCTGGCATTCACTCAGCCCGTGTGCCCAGTACTTAGTAATACCTTCACACTCACCTGTCCTCACCCAGCTACATGACATCAGACACGTCAGAACCCCAAGGATGTGGCCAGTGTCGTCTTCTCACAGTGACAGGGCCACCAGCAGCAATGAGATGGCTCTAGCCTAAGGTCTCCCCTCTCCCAAGGTCACCTTGGCCCGTGTGTGACAGCTGACTGCATCTAGCAGGTGACCTTGCCCAGGTCTCACAAGGAAGTCTTTGAGGTTGATCTGTTATCATCTGGAGCTCAGAGCTCTGTACAATCCACCCACCCCAGCAGCTTGTTTCTTGCAAACTGGAAAGAATGAAGCTTTCGCAAGCTGCTTTTTTTTGTTGTTGTTTTGAGACGGAGTTTCACTCTTGTTGCCCGGACTGGATTGCAATGGCGTGATCTCGGCTCGCCACAACCTCCACCTCCTGGGTTCAAGATATTCTCCTGACTCAGCCTCCTGAGTAGCTGGGATTACAGGCATGCGCCACCACACCCAGCTAATTTTGTATTTTTAGTAGAGATGGGATTTCTCCATGTTGGTCAGGCTGGTCTCGAACTCCCGACTTCAGGTGATCCGCCTGCCTTGGCCTCCCAAAGTGCTGGGATTACAGGTGTGAGCCACCGTGCCCGGCCAAGCTGCCTCTTCTTAAAGGAATTTCCTCCTCTGCCAAGTAAGGAAGTCCCTAACGCTGTATCTTGAACTTTGTTATGAGGCTCCGTGATGAGGGAGTGACGTCAAGAAGGGACAGGCCAAGAGAGGGAATATGACTGTCCCTGGGCTCCCCAAGGTCCTCTGAGGGGAGATGCAAGAGGCCAAGCAGGGGCTGGGTGTGGTGGTTCACACCTGTAGTCCCAGCATTCTGGGAGGGTGAGGTGGGCAGATCACCTGAGGTTGGGAGTTCGAGACCAGCCTGACCAACATGGAGCAACCCCATCTCAACTAAAAATACAAAATTAGCTGGGCGTGGTGGCACATGCCTGTAATCCCAGCTACTCGGGAGGCTGAGGCAGGAGAATCGCTTGAACCCGGGAGGCAGAGGTTGCAGTGAGCCAAGATCATGCCATTTTACTCCAGCCTGGGCAACAAGATTGAAACTCCGTCTAAAAAAATAAAAGGCCAGGGAGGGTGGAAAGGGGCACAGAGGCAGGGGCTACTCCGTTTATGTGACTGCATCCACATCGTTAGGCAACACCGCAGCTAAAGGTGCAGTACAGCCAACAGTGCTCCCACCTAGAGGGCCAAGAACTTTCTCCAGTGGAGATGCAGCCCAAGGAACTGGCCCTTGCCCCAAGCCCAGAGTCGGTCAGAGATCCAGGGCAGTGGGGCCCCATGGCTGGCTTGCTGTTGGTCAGCCAGAAGGGGTGCTTTCTATACCCGCTGCCTCCCCAACCTTTGCCAGATAACGACAGATGTCTCCCCACACCACAAGGTTTCACACAGTGAAAATTACCAGTGGAAGCATCCCCTCTGGGACAGAAACCTGCCAGGGGCTGGAGACTAGAGGTGTGACCCAGGGAAACCACCTGGCAAAAGTAACAACATCTGGCTGGGCATGGTGGCTCATGGCACTTTGGGAGGCTGAGGTAGACAGCTCATCTGAGGTCAGGAGTTCAAGACCAGCCTGGCCAACATGGTGAAACCCTGTCTCTACTAAAAATACAAAAAATTAGTTTGGTGTGGTGGCGCACGCCTGTAGTCCCAGCTACTTGGAAAGCTGAGGCAGAATTGCTTGAACCCGGGAGGCGGAGGTTGCAGTGAGCCAAGATCACTCCACTGCACTCCAACTTGGGCGATAAAGAGGATTCCGTCTTGAGAAAAAAAAAAAAAAAAAAAGTGGCAACATCTGAACCTCAGACAAGCACTTCCTGTGTGCCCTCAATTTAGGCCTAAACTCTGTCCATAAACTTTGGACCATCTGTAAACCCACCACCAAGGAAGAGCAAATTACACAAACTTGGGACAATGCCCACAAGATCACAGATCCAAACAGCTGTCTCAGAGGGTTTTGAGTGTTGTTTCACAGGCCTTAAGTCCAGGTCCACCCAGCCCGCATCCCCTCTGGTATACAAACCTGGTAGGGGCTGGGACTGGAGGTGTGACCCAGGGAAGCCAGGTAAAGTGCACACTCTAGGATTTAAGACAGGGTTTGTTTTCCTTTTGGGGGTCACTCAGCACAGAAGAGGCCAACTTTAGATTCCACAAATTTGTTCTGGGGTTTTTCCAGCAGCATTTTATTTTTTACTTTTATTTATTTATTTTTGAGACGGAGTCTCACTCTGTCGCCCAGGCTGGAGTGCAGTGGTGCAATCTCGGCTCACTGCAAGCTCTGCCTCCTAGGTTCACGCCATTCTCCTGCCTCAGCCTCCAGAGTCGCTGGGACTACAGGTGCCTGCCACCACGACCAGCTAATTTTTTGTATTTTTAGTAGAGACAGGGTTTCACCGTGTTAGCCAGGATGGTCTCGATCTCCTGACCTCGTGATCCACCCGCCTCGGCCTCCCAAAGTGCTGGGATTACAGACGTGAGCTACCGCGCCTGGCCATTTTATTTTTTAGAGACAGGGTTTCCCTCTGTCACCCAGGCTGGATGCAGTGGCACCATCATGGCTCACTGCAGCCTCGACTCTCAGATTCAAGTGATCCTCCCACCTCAGCCTCTCGACCAGCAGGGACTACAGGCATGCACTACTACCCCAGCTAATTTTTTTTTTTTTTTTTTGAGACAGAGTCTCGCTCTGTCATCCAGGCTGGAGTGCAGTGGCGCGATCTTGGCTCACTGCAAGCTCTGCCTCCCGGGTTCAAGTCATTCTCCTGCCTCAGCCTCCCGAGTAGCTGGGACTACAGGCACCCGCCACCACGCCCGGCTAATCTTTTATATTGTTAGTAGAGACAGGGTTTCACCATGTTAGCCAAGATGGTCTCAATCTCTTAATCTCGTGATCCGCCCACCTCGGCCTCCCAATGTGCTGGGATTACAGGCGTGAGCCACCGTGCTCGCCTACACCGGCTAATTTTTTAACTTTTTATAGCGACAGGGGTCTTGCTATGTTGCTCAGGCTGGTCTCAAACTCCTGGGCTCAAGTGATCCTCCCACCTTGGCCTCCCAGTGTTAGGATTACACGTGTGGGCCACCATGTCTAGCCTGAAATAATTTTGGAACCTCTCCTCTCCTCCCTTGGGAGGGCTGACTGAGGATGAAGAAACCATGGTTCTTTCCTGGCCCAATGTATGTACTTTCAGAACCAAAGGGCACCAGTCCGTGCAGAGGACTCCAAAGACCATCCACAGAAATCTGGGCAGGGCTTTCTGGAGGGTGGCCTGTTGGGAAGAACCTGGCCCTTTCCTAACAGCCAGCTCTTCTCACACCTGAGCTGCGCCAACAGCCAGAGGGAACAGCCTGCTCCTGCCACAGGGCACCAAGGTGGTACCTGTGTATAGCTGGGACTACAGCAGGAAGTTCAAGCTCTGGGTAAAAACTAGACACGTTCCCACTGCATATGCAGTAGATGGCAGACAAATCATTAATCATCAGATCAAAAAAATTTTTTTAAACATCAGAGAAATACATGTGACAATCCTATGATTTTTTTTTTCTCTGAACAGACTACTAAGTCCAGCCAATAACTGGCTTCTAGTGGAGTCTTAGTAGCTCAAGACCTATGAGGCTACTTAAACCAAACGAAGAACCCTTTTTTAAACTACCATCTTGGGCTGGGCACGGTGGCTCACGCCTGTAATTCCAGCACTTTGGGAAGCCAAGGTGGGTGGATCACCTGAGGTCAGGAGTTCTAAACCAGCCTGGCAACCATGGTGACACCCCATCTCTACTAAAAATAGAAAAAAATTAGCTGGGTGTGGTGGCAGGCGCCTCTAATCTCAGCTATTTGGGAGGCTAAAGCAGGAGAATCGCTTGAACCTGGGAGGTGGAGGTTGCAGTGAGCTATCATGCCATTGCACTCCGGCCTGGGCAACAAGAGCAAAACTCTGTCTCAAAAAAAAAAAAAAAAAAAAGAAGCCTACCATCTTTAGGACAGGGGTTGGCAAACTATGATCCATGGGCCAAATCTAGCCCACTGCCTGATTCTGTATGGCTTCTAGCATGAAGGATGATTTTTACAGATGAACATTTGCAAGAGGCTTGATGACAGGGAACACGAATGAATCCCAATTAAGCAACATGTTATCTCCTAGAAGAACTCCAATCCTCATGTTAGTGGGCCAATAACATTATAAATAAACAGAACTCTACTTTGAATTTCACCAATTACAAATTTGGGAAATCTGTTTTCTCTCAGAATATAAGTACTCACACAATGTCCTCAGATTTCGCCTCTTAGCCTGCAAAGCCTACATATTTACTAATTTAGGCCCTTTTAGAAAAAGTTTGCCGACCCCTGCTTTAGGATGTCAATCAGAACCCCAAAGCATCTAAAACATTAAATTCTGTCCCTAATATGCCAAGAGGAATAAGAGTACAGCCTGTTAAATATTAACGCACACTTTTTTTTTTATTATATTAAAATCAGGCAATGGTCTGACAATAAAAAGGCTGTTTATGGAATACTGTTATGTTAAACTTCACTTACAGGATGTTAAATCCTTAGAACTAAGGTTTTCCCCCCGGAAAAAGATTAATGGAAACATCAATTGCTTTTCAGACTTGATAGTTGCTGCTTCAAAAGGTGGTTTTACACAAATACTAAATTAAAAAAAAAAAAAAACCTTTAGTACACAATGAATTGCTTTTATTTCGGTATGCATCCACATTTCAGCATTTAGTGGTCCTGAACAGCAAGTGGAAAGACGCAGCAATTTGCTAGGAGGTCAAGCCCACCAATTTCGGGGATCTGCTGTGCACACCGGGTTCTTTCTTAAAACCTGCTGAGGATCTTGGGAAGCAGCAGCAGCACCAAAACCAAGGCATGCACCGGATTCAAGGTTCTTTTTGTTCCAGTTGTCAGATTCCAAACTAGACCCCAATGGATTGCAAGGATGACCAAATGAAAGCCCTGTTTAAAACTTCCTTCAATTTTTAAAAGCAAAACAATTATAGGAAAATAAAACAATTCAGAGGGATCATGTGTGCTTACAAGTGTCTTCATGTGGTCTTTCTCCAAGTTCAACCACCAAGGACTCCAAGAGCTGGCAGGTCTGAGTAACCCTGGTGACTATTCTTTTCACCTTATCAAAACCTGAGCTAAAAACAATGCATCAGCTGATGACAGCAGAGGGTGGCAGGGCTGAGGCCCCATTATTCATTTCCCAGGCTGGTGGACAGTGAGTGAGTATGGTTCCAAAACTAAACAAGGGAGGTCAGAGACTCTTTCCAACCTTACCTGATGGCTTCTGGCCAAAGCAAGGAAGTGTCATGGAAGGTGTTGAGTGGTGATGGTGCAAAAAGGAACTTGAGGAGGAGGGAGAAAAAGCAGCACCCCTCGATAAAGGTGGGGGAGAGAAGATATGGGGAAAGCCCTGAATTCCTCACCGAAGGCCAATCTCAGAGGGGAGCGGAGGGGTTACAATCTATGCTTCGGCCAAGGGTGGGAGTGGAGGAGTGTGGGAATAGGATGATGGCTTGGAAGGGGCATCATTTAAGACTTAAAGAAACCAGGGGTGCAGGCGAAGCACCCCACACACCTAGCAGTAGTCCCACAGGCTGCGACCTGAAACCTTCACATCTACTCTAACAAGCCCCCCAGGCTAGAGGGCTGTTGTTGCAGGGAGGGTGGGAGGCGGGAGGGTAAGGGGAGAAGGCAGAGACCCCAGGCCGTGTAATCAGCAGCAAGGTGATTGTGTGATGTGTCTTTTCACAGTTAAGTTAGATGTGCCCCACCAGTTATGATGGGAATCAATTTAAATAGACTTTCTTGATCCCAGAAGTTCAACTACGTGGACAGTGGTTACACTTGACAGGATGATTTGTTATAGCACAACTTATATATTTCAAATGGACAAAAAATTAGTATCATTTACAGTATCTTAAGATAAATTTCCTTTGAATGGGAGCTTCCTTTCCAGTACTTTGAGGTCTACAAGACGTATCTAGAAAATTTACTACTGTGGAAAATGAAGACTGCTTAAATCGAATGGGGGGGAAGGGGAAGGGCCTGTGGTTTTTCTTTTTGATTAATTGCTGTAACACTGTCCTTCGGGCGGCTGAGGGAGTTTCATATTTTCTTTAGACATCATTAGGCGCCGAAGCTCTTGCAGGACAACTTTGATGCTATATGAATTCTGCCATTTTGCTAGCACTGATATGGCTCTTGGGTCCACCTACAACAAGGCAAACAAAAGCAAATTACTCTCAGACTCTCAAACAAAACAGCTATATGCTGGGGCTAAGCTACGATGCAAACTAGAGTAAGATGTACTTTTCAAGTTGAACCTGCTGCTAATCCTAATACCTTACACGAAAAATACCTACCTGCTGGAGTCCCTCCCTCCAGTCAGCCTGCCTTTCCCTTTTGTGTCCTGAACGCTTACTATCTGGGATAAGGAAACGGTGGTACTGACACTTGGTGAGACTCAACCCAGCCCTACTTGGCCCCACAACAATGGCTGCAGCTGGGCTGGCTGCTGCCGTACTCAAGGCCTGTTCTCTTCACTGCGCCCAGGTAGTGGGGACAGATGTGCATGCAGGGCAGTACGGACAGCCAAGGCAAAGGGTGGCCAGGACCCGTGCTCTAGTGACAAGGGTCTGCCACAGAGCCAGTGCCTCTCAGATTAGGGCAGCATTTCCCAAAATAAATTCCCCAAAGCATGGGTTGACTTCTGGGCTCAGGACTTTAGGTGGAACTCAGATTCAGGATTAAACACCGAACAAACACACTGTAACGAAGCTCATCTCTTTTCAATTTTCCAGTCTTCTGAGTATCTCAAAGATGAAGGCTTGGTGTGATGTTAATGTGTAGCATCCCTTCAACACTTGCAGGAGAGCAGGCCTCAAAGGCTCAAAGCCTTTGGGTAAATGACACATGGAGTCAAGATTTATTAACATTGCTCTGTTTTTATAATATTTACTGTTGCCATTATTGCCCAGTTATGACAACTGAGACAGGCTTTCCATTTATGGTAGTAAAAATAAAAAAGTAAGGCAATTAAAGGAAAAAATATTACGTGCCAGTGGTTCACAAATAAGGCCCAGGGGGTAAAGATGTAGCCCTGGGCAAGATCCTCTATGTCTGTGCCTCAGTTTCCTCATCTCTACCTCATCGGGATGGCGTGAGGACTGAAAGAGCTCATATCTCAAAGTGACCAGTACAGAACTAGCCCAGGGTAAGTGCTATATGAGTGACCGCCACATATAATTGGGAAACAGGCCCCACCCGAAATCTGTGCTCCTATGCACAGTGATACAGTTTATCAACAAATAACCAAAGAACATACGGAATTGGGCCCAGTCTAAAAGCTCGTGATGTTAAGTACAAAGCAACTGTCAACCCCAAGGAACAAGTGGGGCAGAAAAAACAACTTACCACTCCATTAGAACTATTTACTCCATTCATATTAATTTTTGTTACAAATCTTACAAAGGGGGGTGCTTCTGGGTATTTAGGTCCACATTCTATTTTAAGGCTGTATATTCGGTTTTCATAAATTGTCTGGAAAAAAAGGGTACAGAGATGTCACGTAATTACAACAAAGCATTCAAAAAGGTAGAGCCTGTGAAACCCCATTTATCCCTGACTGGAAAACTGGTACATGTGCTTCCAGCAGGGAGTCTACTTGTTCTGTGGTAGGCCAGCAGTTCTAAACTAGTTCCTATACTAGTTTATATGACTTCCAGGCCTTAGGGGAATAAAAAGAAGATGAAGCATTTAAGCTAGTACCAGTGAAGTTTTAAGTTAATATTATGTCTAAACAGACCTGTTTTTATGTTAATTTCTCTACTTTGCAGTCCTTCTCTGGGGAATGGTAAGAGGCACTCTCTACTCTAGGAAGCCAAGTTAAATGTCCACTCACCAGGATCATCAGCCAATCAGTTAAATACCACTATGTGGTATTAAAGCGCAGAGCAGGCCACTGCTTTAGAGAACCTCAAAATTCAGACAAGATGAGGGAGGGGTGCAGACCCAGAGCTGCTTCCCCCTTCTCCATCACTCCGGGGTTAGGCACTGGGTAAGGGATTTCAATGGGGGTGTTCCACCCCTCCCTGCAGTCTTTTTTTTTTTTTTTTTGTAGTCTGACCTGACAGATTACTGGCATTCAGTGGGTGAGGTGGCACAGGGAAAAACAGTTTTGTTTTGTTTTTTTTTTGAGACGGAGTTTTGCTCTTGTTGCCCAGGCTGGAGTGCAGTGGTGTAATATCGGCTCACCACAATCTCTGCCTCCCGGGTGCAAGAGATTCTCCTGCCTCCTGAGTAGCTGGGATTACAGGCATGTGCCACCATGGCCAGATAATTTTGTACTTTTAGTAGAGATGGGGTTTCTCCATGTTGGTCAGGCTGGTCTCGAACTCCTGACCTTAGTTGATCCGCCCACCTCGGCCTCCCAAAGTGCTGGGATTACAGGCGTGAGCCACCACACCCAGCCAAAAACAGTCCTTCTTAAAAGGCTAACTGTGCCTTTGTTGAGAAACACTGAAAAGTCCAACCCCCTACGTCAATAATCTCTTCATTGTACCGTCTAACCCATGAGCAGTGAGACGCGATCTGCTGCCCGACCGTTCGTTCGGCTTGGAGCACCCTGCCCGCACCTGAAATGCCTTGCAACCCTGAAGACTCAGCTCAAACACCACCTAGTCCCTATCTTTCTGTCCCATATGAAGTCACACTGCTATCACATGTGTCTGAAGACCACACTGAAGGGTGATGTCTCCCAGTTAAGAGTAGGCCCCTCAAAGGCACGGGCTCCCCTCTCTGCGGGTTCCCCTCTCAGGCATCAGCGCCCTCTTCTCAGTAGTCTTGTACCGCGCAAGTCAATTGCTCCGGTGTAAAGAGCGGCATCTAGTGGTCTTTAGGGAGAATAAATCACAGGATGTGATTTAAACCCTTAATTCAGAAGGCATTCATAATATACCCATGGAAACTTTTCTTGTCCACAGGGATCCCTAACTATAACCAAACCAAAACTGTGAATTTCTACCTACCCTCAACCTGCCCTCTTCTTCCTCAGTAAGTGACATCAGCATCTATCCAGTTAGCTAAAGCAAAAATCTAGCAGGCAACCCAATTCCCCTTTCCCTTACCCTCTACCTGCCAGTGGTCAGAAGGTCCCACTGTTCTACCTCTGAAAGAGACCCTGTATCTGTCCACTTTCCTCCACCACCGTCACCTCTTCTGAACTCCCCCAAGTCTTCCTCTCTTGCTGCCGGCACAGCAGCCAGAAGACAGACATCTTAAAAACAGGAAGCTGTCTCTGCTGGCTTAACCCTCTGACAGCTCCTAGTGACCTGAAGAGGAAGCCAAAGTTCCCAGACTGACCTGGGCAGCCGTAACTTCCTCTTCTTTTACTCTTCTCCCTCCCCTGCCCGCCATTCCTCTTCAAGCTTGCCAAGTGCTCTCTACCTTGGGGCTCTCACCCCAGCTGCTTCCCCTTGGAAGTCCTCCCAATCCCCTCAGCCCCTCCCAACCGAGGCTCAATTAGGCATCAGACACCCTCACTAAACAAGGAAAAAGGAGGGTGGGGGCTTTGACAGGGGCCCTCAACTGAATTGGTACTTAAATGTTTGTTGAATGAATGTTTATCTTCACACTTTTATGTTATAAAATAACACCTCATTGCAATTAAGGTGTTTCCTCAAAGAAAAAAAAAAAAAAATCTCCCAGTACACAGAATAAGTAGGAAGCAAACAAAGGTATGACTCACATACAGATTTATGGAAAATATGAGAGATCCATCTTCAGAACCTATCATAGTCTCCATCAACAACTACATACTCAGTGTCGACTGAATGGATCCTGCAGGGAGCAAAATTATACTCCTTGGTTTTGTTACACAATTCAAGGATGAAATTCCTTACAGTTTAAGGAATCAAATTTCTCACCACTGATGTTCATATGGTAATTTCACTGGAACACAGTTTAAAAAAAAAAAAAAAGCCTCAAGTCAAGTGATCCCACACACATACCTGAAGGGTCATTTAAAAGCCCCAAGCTAAGGCTGGGCGCGGTGGCTCACGCCTGTAATCCCAACACTTTGGGAGGCCGAGCCAGGCAGATCACGAGGTCAGGAGATGGAGACCATTCTGGCTAACACGGTGAAACCCTATCTTTACTAAAAATACAAAAAATTTGCCAGGCGTGGTGGCGGGCGCTTGCAGTCCCAGCTACTCGGGAGGCTGAGGCAGGAGAATGGCGTGAACCCGGGGGGCGGAGCTTGCAGTGAACCGAGATTGCGCCACTGCACTCCAGCCTGGGCGACAGAGTGAGACTCCGTCTCAAAAAAAGAAAAAGAAAAAGAAAAAAAAAGTCCCAAGCTAAGGCTGGGGGCAGTGGCTCATGACTGTAATCCCATCACTTTGGGGGGGGCCGAGGCAGGTGGTCAGGAGTTCGAGACCCACTTGGCCAACATGATGAAACCCTGTCTCTACTAAAAATACAAAAATTAGCCAGGCATAGTGACAGGTGCCTGTAGTCCCAGCTACCCGGGAAGCTGAGACAGGTGAACTGCTTGAATCTGGGAGGTGGAAGCTGCAGTGAGCCGAGATTGCACCACTGCACTCCAGCTTGGGTGACAGAGCAACACTGTGTCCTAAGAAAAAAAAAAAAAAAGCACCAAACTAGACTTTAATAGAAAACAGGGTTACAGGGTTTCTGTTTTTTTTCTTTTATTTTGTTCATGAGTGCTCCAGGGACCTGCTAAAACAGTTTCAGCAAAGGACATGTACCTGAAGAATTGCTGGAACATTCTGTGTGAGAAATACTGCTCTTAAGATTCATTATTTGATCATGAAACAAACACTTTCCACTTTGTTGATATGGCTCATGCTTTGTGGAGCCATTTGGCAGTGCTCACCAACATGTGAAATGAGCATGCTCAGACCAGCAGGCCCCTTCCTAGCAATTTCCTTCAGAGAGACGCATACTTGTGCACAAAATGTGAAGCACTGTCTGCAATAGCAAAAATAACTACAATCTACATGTCTACTTGCAAGGGACTATATGAACATGGCATATTCATATAACCCGGAGACTTCGTAGCCTTCTCAGAGGCCGAGGGTACACACACACTCACATGAAAGACTGGCAAAACACGGTACCGGGTATTGACAGTACATTGTAGGATATGTATAACATATAGAAGCAGGCCTACACTTTCTTCCAATTCTGGGTATATTTGTGTGCACACAGGCTACTTCATCCATTAGGCACAACAGGCCCAGAGCCTGGAGATTACAAATTTTTCCTGGGTCAAATGTATATATATGAGATAACCCCAGTCTAATCATTAAAAAAAAATAAAAAGTCAAATTCCAATAGAGAGACAGTCTACAAAATATCTGACCACTACTCCTCAAAACAGCCAAAGGCATCAAAAACAAGAAAAACCTGAGAAATGTCATTGTCACGAGGAGCCAGAAATATGATGACTAAGTGTAATATGGTATCTTGGATGGGATTAAACAGACATAAGTAAAAACTTAAGAACACCTGAATAAAGTACGGACTTTAGTTAATAATAATGTATTAACATTGGTTTATTGGTTGTGACAAAGGTACCATACCAGCAGAAGATGCTAGCAACAAGGAAAAGGTAGTACAGGAAGTACCTCCTTTGCAACTTTTCTATAAGCCTATAAGTATTGGAAAATAAAATTTGTTTTAAAAATGTATGAGCTAGGCTAGGCACAGTGACTCATGCCTGTAATCTCAGCACTTTGGGAGGCCAAGACAGGAGAACTGCGTGAGCCCAGGAGTTCGAGACCAGCCTGGGCAACAAAGTGAGACCTCGTCTCTACAAAAAGTAAAAAAAATTAGCCAGGCGTGGTGGTGCGTCTGTGGTCTTGGCTACTTGGGAGGCTGAGGCAGGAGGATTACTTGAGCCCAGGAGGTGAAGGCGGCAGTGAGCTGTGATTGTGTCACTGCACTCCAGCCTGGGTGACAGAATGAGACCCTACCTAAAAAAAAAAAAAAAAGAAATACGAGAAAAGGAATAAGGTATTAATTACAAAAATATGCAAAGAAAATTACAAAATCTAAACATATAAAAAGGAAACATTAGGTCAACTAGTCACCTGCTATTCAGTTTGAATCTTACGTAGTTATATACAAATTATGTTTAATGTACAATGTGGGTACATGCTGTGTTAGAATGCAAATCACTGTTACTGCTCGGGAGAAGAGTAGGGATATGGCAGTTAGGGTAAGTCAGGAAAAAAGACTCCACACTAGGTTTTATAACAGAATTTAATATAAGACATTGGTTAAACAGGCGTCAGTAGACTGGAAATGCTAAAAGGGAATCTAAGCTAACAGAGATGTAATAAACGAAATGAAGCAGGATGGAAACTCTTAAGGGAGTGGGGACTAAGCTGGAGTTCACCAGGGTTGGAGGCTAAGGAAGAGGTCTGCAGAGCTGAACTCAGATCTCTGAGGAGGGGGTGCTGCCTGGGTGTTGCTAGAACTTCCAAGGAAGGGGCCTGGCGGGATGTGATGAGGCT